ACACACACACACACACACTCACACACACACACAAACACACACACACACACAAACACACACACACACACACACACACACACACACACAGGGAGAGAGAGAGAGAGGGAGAAGCTTACATGTACCATACCACTGTATTGATAATTTAAGATAAATCTGTGTTTTCTTACTATCCAAATGAGATAATAACCAAAAAATGAAACTTATCCCAAACCAATTAACACATTTTCAAAAATATTTATAGAATGAGCACAATGTTCTCTTTTTTCACTTAATTACATATTTATATGTTGTGCTTTATTGCTTTGGGCTGTCTCTCATCAATATTGCCTGTATTGGAAAAAAGAAAAGAGTGAGCAGAGTACACTTTGTTTGATCCCTTCCATTGAGCTGAATTGATCTACATCGGTTTACTGAGACATTACCACTTGTAATATCTGTGAATATGTGAATCTAGGTTAGGAGTAGTGATCTGCGAAGCATAAAGAAAATGTATATTTGAATCATAGCATTTCCCTTCAAAAGTAAAGCTTTAAAAATACAGCAAAGTGCAAAATATTTTCTAATTTCATTAAATCAAATCTATATTCTAAGAAAACACACATTTAAATACCCAGATAGTTATTTGTGATTTTTGAATGTTGTAAAAGCACAATATGGCAACAATGCAATATCAAATACATGGCATTAAAAATGCCAGCTTTTGTTTTGGGAAACCACACAACAGAATTTGTTTTATTCCACAAGTTGTATGATGCCACTGCACTGGATTTACGAAATGAATCTTGATGCAACTGTTGAGTTGCATATAATTATAATTATCTTGACTTTAAACACCTCTAATATATCATTTTAGTCCACACAGATGTAACTCAGGCTCTTTTAACATAGTTCTCTTGATGTTATAGAAATTGAAGACTGTTCTTAAGACATTTTGTTCTGAACATAATATATCTCTCCTTCAAGGAAGTTTGTCAAAATGTAAATTACACAAAGGCCAGTTATAATGAACTTCTACTTGTAACATCAATAATAAAAATACAGCATTCCAAATATTTTGTTACTACATTTTGCATCAGTTTTCATTTTTCTTAAATGTTTATTTTTTCAAAGAGTTAGAGGCAACAATGCAAAAGATAATATTTTATGGGTTATAACACCAAAAATAAAGGCAAAGTGATTAGGAATAGTTAAATTTCACAGTGGCATCAGGATCGCAACACTTCCTAAAGCCACAGTATGACTTTTCTGTAATGCTGTGACTCTGGTGATAGGAAATGGCTGGAGAGAAGACTCAAGGAAGAGGATAAAAAGTAACTGATCCTATTCACTTTGAAATTTCATTTCAAATACAACATTCATTTATATTTTGAAAATTATTTCAAACTTGAATAAAAGTTATATGTACAGTACAACAAAACCTTTGATTTTCAAATATTTGGGACTGCCTTTGAAAAGATGCCCTGTCTTTCCTGTGCTTTGGTATTTCCTACAACACAGCAACAAATCCACCAGATTCAGTATACTAGCATACATACATGATGCATTCCATGTGATTCATAATAGTTAATTCTTGGACCCTGTTCAAGTTGTATGAGTTGTTACCAATAGTGTTATTTATAAGAAAATGATGAAATCCAGAATCTTGCTTTGAAGTTACTAATCTCTTCTTGGAATCATTCTTTGCTTAGCTTTTCTTTGACTTATTGGACATTAAAATGCTGAAATATACATCCACTTTTCTGTATAATTCCCTGAAGTTCATGGATGTATTTTCCCTCATAGTCAGATACAACTTTCTAATTCTGGCAGATACCTTATGGCAGTGATTGTGTATTCTCATTGCATCTTATCAGGGGTACACAGTTTCAGTTTGCCCATTGCTGTTGAAGCTCACCTTGATTATATGATTTCATTGTTGTTTGCCAGGATTCTCTTCTAAAAAAAACAATGAAAAAAGAGAATGGATAATGGGTAGCTATTTTAATGGGTATATGTTTTCTGGGGAGGGACTATGGAAACTATGTAAATATCCCAGTTTGAATTATGCTTTCAACTTACTCATTTTATTTATACACATCAGAATGGATAAACAATTTCCTATTCTTTCCAATGCTTGAGAATCTGCTCTTATCATTGTCCATTTCGAAGTTCAAAATTGTTTTCAGCTTGCTAATGAGAGCTATATGAAGGTGAGTTTTCTTTTTTTCTTTTCTCTTATTAATATACTCACATAATATTTTTGGAAAGCTTTCCTACTTTCTGGCACAAGATGATAGCATATTTCAACCTTCAGAACTTTCTGTACCATAGTTTCAAGATAAGCCTTTATTTTTTGGTCTGAGGAGTCTTGAGTCTCATAGTAGGAAATGGCATTTAAATACCAAGAAGCTTATTGCTTTTGAATGCCACTGTTTACAGAGAGAAACAGAGAAAAATTAGCACACGCAAATGCATACAGATGTATGGGTCATGTTTCTTCTCTATATTACATAGTTACTATGTGGGGCAGATCTTTACAGCAAAAGACAGAGTGACAGGGGAATCACAAACCACATGAATGTTGTTTGAAATTGAACAACATGAGAATCTCATATGAAAAAGGGAGGTGACCAGGCAAATGAGAAAAACCTCAAAGTCATGGCTTTGGATTCAGTTTTAAATGCCATTGTGCACACAGTCAATAAGGAAAGAAGAGTGTGGGAAAACCCAGGCAAGAGAAAGTGGCCAGGTAAAGCAAGGCAAACAAGGGCAGGGTGAGTGCCACGGATTCACGTCAATGTGTCAGAGCCTCTGGAGATTTAGAATCATCTTTCTCTTTCTTGTACCTAGAGTGGGAGGGCTTTACAAGTGGAGGGCCCCATCTGGGACTGGTTATCCATCACAGAAGGGCAACTGCTTCTCAGCCTTCAGAGCTTTCGAGGTCGCTGGGCCTCAGAATAATCTGCCTAAAGCAATCCTTATGACATGAGGCAGAGTTGGGGTCGTATATCTTTGTTCTCTATACATATACAAACTGATTCCTTATTTAAGTATGTACCACCTTCATGGCTCTTTGACATTTGACAAATGTAGCAGAGGCAAGAAAGTCATTGTTCCCTTTCTTTATAAACAGGATGTAAAACGGCATTTAGAAGTACGTTGCTCCTACTCAGGGGAGAGGAACAAATTAGCTTTGAGAACAGAGAGAGAGAAATGAAATCAATCTGAAAAGAGCTTGCTGAATCTCTCTAGTTTAACACTCCTTTGGCATTCAATCAAAGTTACCTGTAACTGTCCACTCTGTCAAATCAAAGCATGAACCTCTTTCTTCGTATATTCATTCTGATGCTCTTGTGTGACATAAAAGACACACGAATATGCTTCTTTTCTCTTATGGATCTGTCTTTGCTTGGGAAGCAGTCCCTAACTCCTTTCTGTGAACACTCACTCCCATTTTCACCCCTAACTCTGAGCCTCCATTCTGAGATGCCCCGTGTGGAGCCCTCACAGTCAGCGTGGTCAAACACTTAGTACCTCTTTGCTCTTGTTGCACAGCCAAGTTCTCCCTGACACTTCAGGTTGAGTCACATCACCACAGGGACAATCTCTTTACCAGATTTTGACTCAGTATCTAGTACTGAATATCCTTCCTCAGCAGCAGCCTTCCTGGACTCCTCTGCACTCATACTCTGTCCTTAAAGCCACATCCTGGGCGGCTTCTCCAGCATACATTTGATCTGAAGTTCTATGCCAGCTCATTCCTTCTCCCTCCCTCTGTCTTCTGGTGCAGGTGTTGGCATCTACCCTGTTTGGTCCAGTTTATTGGTTTTGAGCTTAAATAGCTCCTGAACAACAAGAAAGAGAAGAAAAAAAAAGATAAATCACTGTTTTATTCTTTCTTACACTTGCTTGCTATATTTCAACTTTCTAAGTGGGAACCTCAGAATATTTGTAAGAAATCCTATAGTAGAACCTTTTGCTGTGTCACTGTCAATGTGTGCTCCTACTGCAGATTTTAAGTAATGTGAGTGAAGCAGGATGCAATGGAAAACAATACAACATGTCCCACAATATCAGGATCGATTCATGCTCTAAAAACGATAGGTATTGTGCAGCTGATGCTGACTGTGGACTTGAGGTCTGACTCTAATTTCTCTTTCTTCCCCTCCCCTCACCCCCTCCCGTGTGTGTGTGTGTGTGTGTGTGTGTGTGTGTGTGTATGTGTGCGCGCGCGTGCGTGCTCATGCATGTGAATGCAAATGTATGATGTGTGTATGTGTATTTTATATTAAATAAAAATTTTCATGTATTTCACATCCCAATCAATTTCCCCTCCTTCCTCTCCTCCCATCCCTGCCCCCCTCTTTGCCTCCCCTCTACCATCAACCCGCATCCTCTTCTCTGTTCAGAAAGAGGCAGGCCAAATCAAGCTGAGGCAAGACTAAGATCCTCACCCTGCATCCAGGCTGGTATTTTGTGGTTGCGGGACTACAAGTACCCTGGCGTAGGAGCAGAGGTCAAAGTGCAGCTTGAGTGACATGCCTTTGACTTTGCTTGCCATTGTATGTGTCAGGCTAGAGCATCCATGGTTTCTTGGGAGTCTCTGATCTCTCCCTCCCCTTTTGCCACAGGGCCATTGGGATTACACGTAAGTGCTGCTAAGTTCAGCTTCATGAGGATTCTGAGGATCCAAACTCAGGTACAAGGCAAGTGCTTTTCTGAGCCATTTCCCTAGTTCCAAATCTTAATTTTCATCTTAAACAATAAAAAAAATTGCTGTATGCCATGACACATATTTCAACAAATGTACTAATATTTTGAAGTAGTTGAAATGAATACCTTGCTCTTTTTTTTCTTTCTTTTTTTTTTTTCTGAAAACAATTTGGCAGGACTGTAACAAATTAAAATGTATGATTCTCAGCATGTTTTTTTTTTTCAAAACCTGGAACTTGTTTATCCATAGAATTTAATATTAAAATAGAAAATGAAATTAGAAAATTTTAAATAGAAGAACTAAAGATATTAGAAAAAATCCGAAAGAGAAATCTATCAATTAATTGATGATAAAACTCAATTCTCACATAGTAGAGTTTTTATAAGTTTTAGCTCAATCTTACTTGAAAATATTGCTAACCATTTGGGTCTTTATAATGCTGATATGATATGTATTCAAGAACATGTTTACTGTGATTTGATCAAGGCTATTGTGTTTCGCATTTCTGTACTTTTAAATAAAATAGAGACCAGGGTCAACTTTATTGACAGTAGAGCTGGCTGTTACCATAGCAACTTTTTCTTTTTGATAAATGTGGTTGATTTTAAATAATCATCAGTGGTTCTTTCTGGGGTCCCCTATGTTTTTACATTCATCTCTGTCTATAGACAAGTTTTGAAAAACATGTTTAGTTTTATGAAGATAAATCAGAACAGATTATCACTTTAGAATAGTATTTTACCCTTCAGTGAGTTGTAAGCTGTCATTTCTCCATTTATTTCAATAATTATAATTTCTAAGACCAGTTCATGTCCAGCATATATTTGCTTGTGTTCTTATGATAGGTGATTATCTGCATTATATAATTGTAGATTCTGGTTGCTTTAGCAACAAAATGCCTGCTTTAAATTTAGAATCTCATTTATTTTCTGTCACTTTATTCTTTACTGCTAAGAGACAAGCTATTTTCTGTTAAATAAAAAAATAAAAAGAGATACTATCATAATGGGTGAACTGTCAGCATTTGGTCTTTGTTTCAGTTTAAGCTAAGGGGAGAAGGAACAGCTAGTTCTGTCAGAGAATAAAAGATTTTCTTATGTGGGTAGGCTCTGTGCTGGAGAGGTGTATATATCACGATGCCATTCCTGAGTCATGTAATCCACTGAGATGCAGTCAATGTCACCTATGGAACTTATATAACAAAACGGAACCTTTGACAGATGGGGAACTGGACTAGGAAGGAGTCTTTGCTGTGCTTACTTAAAGGGAAGAAAGGGCTCCATTTAATATGCATTCAACATGGGTTCAAGTTTCATTTGACTCATTAATGAGATTAAAAAGCTAAATGGCAAGAATTGAATTGAGTGTATAGCAACTGGGGTTTATAACATTGGTGACGTTAAGTGTGATAAAATAAGATTTATGCCATAAAGACAAAATCACCACAGATTTTGGAGTTGTTCTCTATCCTAGGCCTAAGGACAGGAGCACAATCTCTTATTAGACATCTCTAAACTAATGTGTAACTCTACAGTGCGGTAGAATGCTTAGACTAAAATTATTTAAGGATAAAATACAGCAGGAAGTTGCATTTTTGAAAAGGGCAAGATAATTAATGGGATGACATCACTGGAACCCATGTAAAAATATCAGCCATGGTGGCTTGTGTTTGTAACCCCAGCACTGCAGAAGTGGAGACAGAAGCATCCTTGGAGTTCATGAGTTAGCCGGCCAAGCCCACTGGGGAGCTCAAGAGTAATGGCAATCCTTGTCTCAAGAGAGGTTGATGATGTTTCTATATTGACATCTGTGGTTGTTTTCTGGCCTCTACCTGCACCATACACATACACACACACACACACACACACACACACACACACACACACACACACAAATGAATAAATAAATAAATAAATAAATAAATAAATAAATAAATAAATAAGACAGAAAATGCTCTATGTGATGACACCATGCTTATTCTTAGGTTTCTGCCTTGTTTTCAACTTCTGGATAAGTATTCCTGTAGCAATGTGTTTACCCTTCAATACTCTCAAGATTCATACATTTATGGGAAAAATAGCATTGTTTTCATATGTGCTATTAGAAAATGAATAATGTGGAGGTCTGCACACTCTTTGGTATATAATCCAGACAGCGGCCAAGAGTCATGTTCTCCTGCCACAAGATAGGTAGACACATGTATCTTCATCTTCCCTCTTTAGCCTTTTCTTTCAGGAAATTT